ATTTCCCAAAATTTTCTCAAAAGCCCCAAAAACCCGAAACCCTCAATCTCATCATTTTCAACCAAAAATCATCAAACAGCAACAGCCAAAGAGTTCCTAGAACTCATTTTCATCCGAAAACGGCAAAAGAACCTAGCTTCCCTTACCTCGGTGGAGAATCCGAGCTTCCGGGAATAGACAATGGAGAAGAAAGAGCTCGAAAAAGGCGGAGAACGGAGAAGAGATTTTCGGCTTTCCTGCTAGCTTTCAAACACGAGAACCAGCACCTACACACCCAAGAATATAGAGAATTTGGACCAAGGCAAACAAAGGAAAGAAGAGAGTGAGATGTGCAAGTGAGAGTTTTGAGAGAAAGTGAGTAGGAGAGGGTGAGAGTGAAAACAGGAAAAGGTTAGGGTCTCACATCCTCCCCAACAACAAGAGTTTTCGTCATTGAAAACAGACTTACTTGGGAATAAAAACGGATATCGCTCCCGGCACTGCTGTTCCACCTCCCAAGTAGACTCACCGGTAGTTGCATCCCACAGGACCTTCACCAGGGCAATGGACTTGCCCCTCAGCTCCTTCAGCTTATAATCCACTACAGCTACTGGCAACTTCTCAAAGGTCAGGTTCTCTTTCACTTGTACATCGTCCGGTTCCACCACATGACTTGGGTCATGAGTATACTTCCTCAGCTGAGACACATAAAATACATCGTGTAGGTTCGAAAGGGACGGTGGCAGAGCCAACCGATAAGCGACCAGACCCACACGCTGTATGATCTGATAGGGACCAACAAACCTCGGTGTTAACTTCCGAGCCTTCAGTGCCCTGCCCACACCCGAAGTCGGAGTCACCTTCAGAAACACATGCTCTCCCTCAGCAAACTCCAAAGGCTTACGCCTTTTGTCAGCATATGATTTCTACCTACTCTGAGCAGTCCTCATCTTCTCCTGAATCATCTTCACCTTTTCAGTAGTCTGTAGGATCAGCTCCGGTCCCACAACCACTGTCTCACCCTCCTGATACCAGCACAGAGGAGTCCTACATCTTCTGCCATACAAGGCTTCGAACGACGCCATTCCAATGCTAGCATGAAAGCTGTTGTTATAGGTAAACTCCACCAGTGGTAGGACCTCCTCTCAGCTACCCAAGTGGTCCAACACACAAGCCCTCAGCAAATCCTCCAAGGACTGGATTGTCCTCTCTGACTGACTATCCGTCTGTGGATGATAAGCAGAACTTAGCTTTAGCTTTGTGCCTAGGGCTTGGTGTAGACTCTACCAAAATCTAGAAGTGAACCTCGGATCCCGGTCGGAAATAATACTGGAAGGCACCCCGTGCAGTCGTACTATCTCCCTCACATATATCTGTGTCAGCTTCTCCAAGGACCACTTGATGTTGACAGGCAAGAAATGTGCACACTTGGTCAACCGATCAATAATCACCCAGATAGCATCACTATTCCTAGCTGACCTAGGCAACCCAACAACAAAGTCCATGGTGATACTATCCCACTTCCATTCCGGAATCTCAATCTGCTGCATCAACCCACTCGGCTTTTGATGCTCAACCTTTGCCTTCTGACAGGTCAGACAGGCCGCCACATATTCAACTATCTCCCTTTTCATACCCGACCACCAGAAAGTTTTCCTGAGGTCATGGTACATTTTAGTCATACCTGGATGTATGCTAAGTCTGCTCTTATGGCCTTCCTCCAGCACAGCTCTCTTTAGCTCAGCATCCTGAGGTAGACAGATTCTGCCCTTGAACCTCAAGATTCCATCTTCTCCCAGCTCAAACCCCACAGCCCTTTCGGTGCCCAGCAAACCAAGAAGCTTCACTAACTTTACTGCTTCTTGGATGGTTATTCTGGTTATAATCAGATAGTAGTGGACCCGAAGGACCACGAGAAGACAACATTCACATGTCCTTTTGGTGTTTTTGCATATAGAAAAATGTCATTCGGATTATGTAACGGTAACAAGAGATTAAGGATTCATTAGTCTGACGTTTGGTGAAATCTAACCCCCACAACCTCACAAAACCATTATACCATTTCTATCCTTTTCCACTCACAAACCAATATTTATTTATAGCTTTCATTCCAATAGTCACAACTTTGAATTCACATGACAAACTATGAAATTGGAATTATTCTTTAGTCACGAATAGTCAATAAATGCTTATTTTACCTTCTAATCCCTGTGGATACGATATTTTTACTACTTGAACGGCCGATATACTTGTCATGTTTGAGACCGTTGATAGAATTAAACGAATTTACAAATATTAACAAAAGTGTTTCAACGGAAATCTCAACAGCCATTCATGAAGACAACCAAGGTCATCATTGATGTTGATGATGGCAAACTCAAGGTTAGAGTTCAGGATGATGAAGTTAACTTTAATGTCTTTGAAGCCATGAAACATCCAAGTGATAAGGCAGGTTGCTTCAGAGTGGATGTGATTGATGAGTTGTGTATGGAAGCTCAAAGGAAATTTTCAGTAGCTACACCATTACAGAAAACATTGGTGAATGCAGTCAGTGAAATCAATGATGAGGAAGAAAAAGAACTTCAGAAGTGTTTGGAGGAGTTGGACAAAGCAAAGGAGATTTCTCCTAATTCTACAAGTGTACAAGATTTAAATATGGAGGAAAAGTCTCAACCTCAAAAGTTAGAATTGAAGCAATTGCCAAGCCATCTCAAATATGTGTTTCTAGAAGCAAATGGTGGCAAACCAAATTAGCAATTCCTTATCTATGGAAGAGGAAAAGAAGTTAGTTGAAGTTCTTAAGGCAAATGAAGGAGCTATTGGGTGGACCTTGTCTGATCTCAAAGGTATTAGCCCTTCATATTATATGCACCGGATTTTGATGGAACAGGATTATAGGCCTGTGGCACAACCTCAAAGGCGCCTCAATCCAACAATGAAGGAGGTGGTCAGAAAAGAGGTGATTAGGTTGCTTGAAGCTGACATGATTTACCCTATCTCCGATAGTGCATGGGTTAGTCCTGTTCAGGTGGTTCCTAAGAAGGGAGGTATAACAGTGGTGAGGAATGACAAGAATGAATTGATTCCTACTAGAACAGTCACTGGCTGGCGGATGTGTATTGATTATCGGAAGTTGAACCAAGCCACAAGGAAGGATCACTTCCCATTACCCTTCATGGACCAGATGTTAGAGAGGTTGGCGGGTCAAGCCTATTACTGCTTCTTGGATGGTTATTCTGGTTATAATCAGATAGTAGTGGACCCGAAGGACCACGAGAAGACAACATTCACATGTCCTTTTGGTGTTTTTGCATATAGAAAAATGTCATTCGGATTATGTAACGCACCAGCCACATTTCAAAGGTGTATGTTATAAGTCTCATCTAAAAAGAAGTAAAATTGAGACTTAACACATATGCCACCACTCTCCTGTTTTGCATCAACACACAGCCCAGACCCTGGTGAGAAGCATCACAGAATACATCAAAGGGTTCACCAGAATCCGGCAACACCAGCACAGGAGAAGTAGTCAACCTCCTCTTTAGCTCATCGAAGCTCTGCTCACAAGCATCGGTCCAAATGAACGGCTACTCCTTCCTCGTCAGTTGGGTTAAAGGCGCCACTATCTTGGAGAATCCCTCTATGAACCTCCTATAGTAACCCGCCAAACCCACAAAACTCCTGATATCAATGACAGTTCTGGGACGCTACCACTGTAACACCGACTCCACCTTAGCCGGATCAACAGAAATCCCCTCAGCTGAGATCACATGTCCCAAGAACTTCACCTCACTCAACCAGAACTCGCATTTTGAAAGCTTAGCGTACAACTATTTTGCCTTCAAAATCTTCAGCACTAACCTCAAGTGCTCTCCATGCTCCTCTGGGGTCCTTGAATAAATCAAGATATCATCAATGAATACCACCACGAATTTATCCAAGTACGGCCGAAAGATCCTGTTCATGTAATCCATGAACACAGCTGGGGCGTTGGTCACACCAAACGGCATCACAACATACTCGTAGTGACCATACCTAGTCCTGAAGGCAGTCTTCGGTATGTCACCCTCCTTCACCCTAATTTGGTGGTAGCCTGACCTCAAGTCAATCTTTGAAAACACCGATGCTCCCCTCAGTTGATCCATCAAGTCATCTATCCGAGGAAGTGAATATTTGTTCTTGATGGTCAACTTGTTCAACTGTCGGTAATCCACACAAAGTCGACTACCTCCATCTTTCTTCTTCACCAACAACACAGGAGCACCCCACGGCGATACACTCGGCCGCACCAACCGTTTCTCTAACAGGTCCTCCAACTGACCTTTCAGCTTAACCAGCTCAGCAGGAGCCATCCTATAGGGAGCCACCGACACTGGCCCCGCACCTGGGACCAGGTCAATGCTAAACTCCATCTCCCTAACAAGAGGCAACCCAGGCACCTCATCAAGGAATACCTCAGAAAAATCCCTCACCACATCAATATCAGCTAAGACCCTCTCGGTCTCTACACTCAATGCAGCAAGCATAAGACAACACTCTGCTCCATCTCTCAGCAATGATTCAACTTGGCCAGCCGAAATCAACAGCTCTTCCTCCCCCTGAGGAAAAATCAACCGCCTATTGGCACAATCTATTAGGATACGATTGGCAGATAATCAATCCATTCCTAAGATTACGTCAATATCAACTAAAGGAAAACAAATCAAGTTTACCTTATACTTCCTCTCATTCACCACAACCGGACAACTAGCACACAGCTCAGAAGCAACTACCGAAGCAGAAGCGGGCGTCGACACTAGCAGTCTCAACCTCAAATCCCATACAGGCACACCCAGCATAGCAGCACAAGCATACGATATAAATCAATGAGATGCACCAGAATCGAAAAGAATCATCACATCCTTACCAGCAGCTCTACCCTTCCCCTTCACAAGATCTGAGGAAGTAGAAGCTTTAGCTCCAGTCAAGGCGAATACCCTACCAGCTGTAGCGGGTCTGTCACCCCTCTGAGCACCACCCCTCTAGGCACCACCTCTCTGTACATCACTCCTCCCTGATACATCTCTAGTAGGACAGTTGTCTAACTCATGGCCCATCTGGTGGCATCTGACACAACGACTCTTAGTGTGCAGGCAATCCCTGACAAAGTGGGGACCAACACACCTGTAACACCTCAGAGTGGCACCTCCACCCTGTCTCCCTCCACCTGCCGCACCAGAAGGTTGCCTGATGACAGGACCCCCCTGTTGTGGTTGGGGCCTATCATACGACTTCCTTTGGTTCCCTCCTTTCTTGGACCCAGATGGCCCCTCAGCAGGTTTCACCCCGCGATTACCACCTTCCAACCGCTCAACCACCTTCGCCTTCTCTACTAAGGCTGGAAACTCCGTGATGGCCATAGGCACCACCACTCTCTTCAGATCATATTTCAGACCCTCAGCAAACTTCCTACACTTTCAGGCCTCAGCTATACCCTGTGAATAAAAACGAGCCAGGTGCTCGAATTTCATTGCATATTCTGAAACAGTCATCCCTCCTTGGTGTAACCGCATGAACTCAGCTTCCTTGGCATGCCTCACACTCTCCGGGAAATACTTCTCCAGGAACATCCTTTTGAAGCATTCCCAGTCAACAACCACCCCTCTGGCGGTCAGCATATGGTGGGTACCCCTCCACCAATGTTCTGCCTCCCCAACCAGCATATATATAGCATATGCCAATCTTCGCTCCGGTGAACAGCCCAGCACTGTAAAAATCTTCTCAAGTTCACAAATCCAGTGGTCAGCCACCTCTGGATCCGCCTCTCCCTTAAACTACGGAGGATGGCACTTCCGGAACTCGGCTAGGTCCCGACTCTCCTGCGACCCTGTGGTCCTTGCTGCGCCAGCCGCAGCTCTATCCGCCTCTGCCCAAGCAAAATAGGCATTCTGTTGCTGCATAGCCATGGCCATCATCTCCATGGCCCGAGCTATCTGTTCGTTGATTCTAGACATTGTCTACAAAAGTAACAGCATCTTTAGTACACAATAACTAGACCAAACAACAATCAACAGCATAACAAACAACACAGCAAAACAACACAACACAGAGTTCAGCACAATAAAAGCCTAAAGGAACCACCCCAAAGAGTGTCTACTAGACTCTAACTGCTCTGATACCACTAAAGTGTAACGACCCAGCTGGTCACTACACGCGGCACAACACACTGGAAACACCAAGAAGATAGAACAAGTATATAAATATAGGATCTAGAATATATAGATATACAAGTCCCAGTCTGACTAGAGTTAGAGTGTACAAAAAAAAACATCATCAACTGCTACATCAAGTAGCTAAACCACAAAAACAAAACATCCCAAGAGGATAAACTCCAACTGACAGCTGCAGCCCAACTACCAGCCACCGACCTATCCCTGCTCTGCTCCCATACATAGTATGATCATTGCAGTCCAAACATCAAGGAGACAACAAAATGGTAAGCTAGTGTAAAGAATTCAACATATATATATATAAATATATGAATAGAACATCTACAGCTATCAGCACACCCACACAACTTATACTACACCACAGCAATTCAGCAATATCAGCACCGCTCAGCGGCTATAACAGCACCACAATAGTGGCTAACAGCACCGACATAACGGTTATAACAGCACCACAATAGTGGCTAACAGCACCGACATAGCGGCTATAACAGCATATATCTCAGCATTTCACAGCACAGCACAACACAACTAAAAAACTTACAACACAACTAACACAGCTCACAGCACAGCTCATCATCATTTACAGCTCAACTCAGCATAAAACAACATTTATCAGCAATTTCAGCATTTTCATCTAGTCAACACAACATATTCATCAAATATCAGCTTAAATCAACACAAACAACATTCGGCACAGCTCAACTTTTCATCATACGGCATTAACATCATTAATCAGCATACAACATATTATCAGCAAATTTAGCATATCAGTTCAACATTCTTCTACGCGCCCGGCGCACCCAAGGTCGCGCCCAGCGCAACTCAAACAGAGAGCATCAGGGGCCAACACGCCCAGTGCAAGTCTGCTCGTGCCCGGCGTGGCCCCTCTCGCGCCTGGCGCAATTGAGAATTGCGCCCAGCGCTTGCCAGGCAGAGACTCCATGGAGTCCCACGAGCCCAACGTGCCTGAACCCGCGCCCAGTGCGGGGAAGGCAGAGACCTCTCCTAGGTCTCACGCTCAGCGCAATTTGAATTGCGCCCAGCGCCCTCCAGGCAGAGACTCCCAAGGAGTCTCGCGCCCAGCGTGACTAGGGTCGCGCTCAGCGCTGAACCACCACTCAAATATTGCCTGCGCGCTTGGCGCGATTCTTTCCCCGCCCGCCGTGGACCAACCAGAGGCTCACCTTCTCAAGCTCGCCCGACGCACACATCTTTGCGTCCAACGAGCTTGTCAAAAAAAGAGCCCCCAGGTGGTCTCGCGCCTGGCGCGAAGAACCGCGCTCAGCGCGAGACTCGCCAGCAACCCATCCAAGTTCAAAAACTTCACAAATCCTGCAAAATAACCAGAAAGTCTAACATGCAATCCAGCAAACAGTTCACATTTTCATCATAGATCAATAAAAATCAATCATTTTCCACATGCAACCACAGAACAAGAATTTCCCAAAATTTTCTCAAAAGCCCCAAAAACCCGAAACCCTCAATCTCATCATTTTCAACCAAAAATCATCAAACAGCAACAGCCAAAGAGTTCCTAGAACTCATTTTCATCCGAAAACGGCAAAAGAACCTAGCTTCCCTTACCTCGGTGGAGAATCCGAGCTTCCGGGAATAGACAATGGAGAAGAAAGAGCTCGAAAAAGGCGGAGAACGGAGAAGAGATTTTCGGCTTTCCTGCTAGCTTTCAAACACGAGAACCAGCACCTACACACCCAAGAATATAGAGAATTTGGACCAAGGCAAACAAAGGAAAGAAGAGAGTGAGATGTGCAAGTGAGAGTTTTGAGAGAAAGTGAGTAGGAGAGGGTGAGAGTGAAAACAGGAAAAGGTTAGGGTTTCACAAAAATATAATAAAATATAAGTTAATAATATATCTGTAATAAAATAATTTATTTATAAAAATATAAAATTAAAATAAAGTGTAAGAGAATTAACAACTGTAAAAAAGTTAATTATAAATTATAATTATAAATTACTTTTGAACAAATACTGTTTACCATGCATGTTCAATTAAAAAATTATCACATGATATTTAAAATTTTGTTATAAATAAAAATAAAGAGAGTTTTAGTTTCTTTCATAAACAAAGTTTATTAACAGTTTTTTTTAATATATTATCTTATACATATATAGTTAATGAAATCAAAATATTATTTTTATTGAATAACAATTTGAAATGAAATGACTTTTCAAGTTACTCAGTCATTTGGTATATATATATATCGCTTAATCAAATTAATTCAAATGGCAAAAATATTCAGGTTAAGTTTATCCATGTGAATGTTTGAACTAATATTCTTATATATAGCTAGTTACAAAAATCACAAAACCCAATCATATATCCAAACTAAGAAGCAAGTGCCATTGTGAATTGATAAAAAGGATTTAGGTTCCGGCAGCTTTAATTTGTCTTTATCATTACATGATTTTGATATATTTTTTTCATTATTAAAATCTTATTTTTAATGGATATACCTATTTAATGAGATTTATTGATATAGGGGAAAATTTTACTTAAGAACTTCTATTGACCATAAAAGTAAAATTTTGAGTTAAACTAAATATTACTGAATTTTAACTAATCATTAAATGAATCATGGTGTTTAATTTGAAAATCTTAAGCATTTTGTTAACTTTCTATCAAATAATTTTAAGTGTTATCTATTATTTTATATTAAAAAAATACTATGAAAAAAAGAAACTTCAATACTACATGAAAGCAACCCAATTTAATTGCATGGGTATAATTTGCTAAGCAAAATTCCCGTATGAATAGTATTTAGTACCTTTCAATCGCTGTTCTCCAAACTTGACGATTCAATCATCTCTGGCAAGAGTAAGTGTGGTTAGAATTATCCATACTTAAGCTTTAGCAACACTAGACTCCAAAGTCGTTTTATCAGGAAATAATAAAAGTAAAGTTTGAATTTGAAAAGGACATATGTCGTACATATTTTTAATAATATATTCAGTGATTTGGATAATATTCGCAATAAATTTAATAGGAAAGTAGTAGTTGTCATTTTATTCTAAAATAATAAGAGTATGCTAAGAAAATAACAAAAAATGCTTTTGAGATATGATTTTTTTGATGTAATCTCGTGAAAACATGTGAACAATCTCTCGTCGGGCGTGTCAAATCTGGACAATAAATGAAAGAAGAATAAATAATTATGATACGATATTATAAAAGATATAATATAAAAACATTACTGAAAATTATAGTTGAGAAGACCTTTTTCTTTAATGACTAGATTATATTATATATCATTAAAAAAATCATGGTCGAGTCACATAAAAGTATTATTTAAAAATGTTATTTAAGTATATTCTAGTGATGTTATTCAATAAAAATAGGTATTTTACTTCAATATTTTCATATTTTGTGTAATAAAAATTTGTAACGACTCTTCATCATCTTTACATTTAATGGTTGTCAAAGTAAAAAAAATAAAATAGTAGTTGAGATAAATTGTCATAAAATAGTTGTTTATAAATAGCAAAAGAGATTAAATGAGATGAAAAATTAGCTTTAAAAATAACTACAAGTATACATACTAAAGTTAACATACAAATCTTTCATGGAAAACACAAGTAATAATATAAATACATGCATAAGAATAAAATCCACCAAGGATAAAAGTTCCTCAAATGAACAACAACATATCCCACACACACACATTATGATCCAAAAGTAACTATAAATGTAACCTAAGTTATTGATCAAACAACTCTACAAAACTATACAAAGTAGCATCAAGTTACATTGTCAACAATTTGGCTCCCAAAACAACATTAGTCTCTAGCCTATCCTTGCCTTGCTTTTGTGTAAACATGATCATCACAATTTAACCACAAAAAACTATGTAAGGATAAACTAGTAAACAATAGAATAATCATGCAAGTATATAAGTAATATAACTATACAACAAAGACTAACATGTAAATCGCACAACATCATAACCAAACACCTCAACATAGCATTCAACACCTTATAAGTAAGCAACCCAAAATATTAATTTCATATTTCACCACATTAATGCCATTTCAACAATAAAATCAACTAAGCATATGAACACCACCACAACCAATACATCATATGCAAAGCGTCTTAATTACATGTGACTTCACTCATTCACCTAGGAAGATCTCCTACAATAAAGGTGAGTAATCTAAGTGATTTGATCCTA